ACTGTACGTTTTCCATGAGGATGAGTTCATTTGAATATTTTTCCCTTAAAGAGAATTGAAATAGCTTTCCGTAGAATTTTGGAACACCTCCATATGATTTTTTTAGAATTAGTTATGGTTTTTCAAAGTTGGACCTGTAATCTGAAAACTGGACAGTGAACAGTAATATTCCGAAAATTAACATCCAAATTGAAATTTTTAAGTTTAAGACCGTCCAAAGTGGTCTTGAATGGGTTTAAATGAATGCTAAGGTACTATATAAGTAAGATGTGACACTCTATATCACTTACAGAGAAAACTAAACAATCAAAGAAGCTGAACTGAGAACCGTATATACGTATATACCGCATTCACTTCAATACTTAAGTCTCTTACTTCTAAGTCATGCTCAACAACTTGTGATTCACGAAGAATAGACAAAGTAGTAGCCTGAGGAAAAAATGGCTCTACGCACAAATCATCTCCCACCATGAACATTCTCCCACTAACATAATCATTCTTAGACCAAATTATAGGCTTATCTGTTTTATAAACTAGTAACACCTGGTGTGGGGTTTGGCTTGCAAGATCAGGATTGAGCAGCTTGTTCTTCAAGTCATTACAAAAGAAATAGGAATTAAAACCAGTTGCTTCCAAATCAGCCAGACTCTTGTACAAGTTATCAATGCAGCACAGACCAAAGTTACCTTGTACAAGATGATGACTTCCCTATCGATTAGTCAAGAAACTTAAGATCCATATGTGAAATTTTCTTCTACTTCGGCTACCAATATCTTCCTTTCTGATTTTGATATCATTACTTTCAACTTCATCGACTTCCCACCCTCCTTTCCGAATAGCTTGCTCATCTTTAAATGGGATTTTGCTAGTATTCTCCAATTCCGAATGTTCAGCTTTTCTTGTAAGAATAAATCTATTAATGGTCAGTTTGACCATAGCAAGAGCTTCAGTAGATCCAGTACCTTCACAAACAAACCATGGTGACTTCAAAATTTGAGTACTTATTTTAACATGGGGAGTTATTATGCTTTGAACAAAATTGAAAGAGGGAATATTCACCTAATTCTGGGTGACATCATGATCAATCTCTGGGGAACGCAGTCAATTCTGAAGTTATGAAGTATCCACAAGGTTGTAATTAGATTCCAAGACATCAATGTGAGATCATCAAACACAATGAATCGTGCGGGTTTCTGAAGAAAGCCATTGAAGGATTTTGAGATCATTGTACTCTCGAAGTTATATACTTCTCCATTTCCTAATGTAAGACCTAATTAACTAACTTGAGTGAATTAAACATATTAGTTAAATTAGTTGATATGATATTTTTTTTTCCTAAAACACCATAAGCAACTTCTTTAATTCTCTCCCTCCCTCTTCTTCTTGATTATTGTTGGGAATATCAATAGTGTTGATTTAGGAAAAAATTGATAAACTTGTAAAATTTACGTATAGGACTAACATAAACTCCCAATCTAGGTCCTACATTAAGGGGCAAAGAGAATACCAGATTTCCATGGTAGGCTTCCATTAGGTTAGTTGGATTCAGCAACTTTGTGTTGCTGGCATCAGAAGTAAAAATACTTGGGGTTCAAATTTTCCACCCTTCGATGTAGTGAACTTATGCAGTTGAATGTGCAAGCTTAAACAATAGCAGAGTGCTTACTAACAAGTTTGGATATACCAGTTCCCAAGGGCGATGTTAAATAAGAAGCTTAGTAAAATATCTACGAAATCTTTTTCTGCTTCTGCAAAGAGAACATTATTTTTGTCTTTGTCCACAAGCAAAGTCAATGAATGAAATCTTTAGTTTTTTAGGAGAAGCCACGACCATAAGAGAAAAAGCAAGAAAGATGTTTAATATTCTATGTGAAGTATTGGTTTCTCGACTCAAGCGAGAGGGAGGAAAATTGGTAGGGAAGATGTATGAGAAAACTGAAAACAAAAATGAGAAGAAAGAGCTCTGGAAAATATTTTTGAGGATGTATTTTATTCAATCTGCAAAATGGGTATTTAAAGACATTAAATCATGACAATAAAAAAACAAAAATATGCTAAAATCCCTATGAATCAGCAACTATGTGACTAATTGATAACAACCCACTAAATCAACAAATACATGGCTAAAAAATAGGAACAAACTTTGACAGAATCAAACTCTAATAATTTATTTTCAAACTGCAATTAATTCCTAAAAATCAACAACAAACTAACGTCAGCTAGTGAGACATATCTCAACACTCCTCCTTGCATCAATAGCTGTACATGCCTAGCTTCATCCTTAGCTCTTCAAACTTGTCTCTTAGTAGAGCTTTGGTAAAAATATCAGCAACTTGATCAAAGGTTTTGCAATAAGTCAGTATGACTTCACCACTCTGTCGTACATCTTTGATAAAGTATAACTTGATGTTAAAATGCTTAGTTTTGCCATGAAAAATTGGATTCTTGGATATTGTAATGGCTGCTTGATTGTCCACTTAAATTGATGTGCTTTCCTGCTGCATAAACTATAAATCAATTAGCATCTTCATTAACTAAAGAGCTTGCTTAACAGCTGTATTTGCTGCTATGGATTCAGTTTCTGCAGTTGATTGGGCCACCACTTCCTGCTTCTTCGAACTCCAAGAAAATACCCCAAAACTCAAAATAAAACAATACCCAAAGGTGCTCTTCATATCATCCAAGGACCCTCCCCATTCTAAGTCAGAACAGCCTTCCAATTTGAACACTTGATTACGTTTATACCGAATACCATAATCAAGAGTTCCTTTGATATACCTTATGACTCTCTTTACAGCCTTGTAATGATTCAATGTAGCACAATGCAAAAATCTTGAAAGAACACTTACAGCATAGAGAATGTCAGGTCTTGTTGTAGTCAAATGCATGAGATAGCCAATAAGACTTCTATAAATGCCCTCGTCATCCTTCTCTACAGCATCATTCTTACTCAGCTTTTCCTTTTGATTCATTGGAGTAGCAATAGCTTTACTTCCTTCCATGCCAAATCTATTCAGTATTTCTTTGGCATACTTTTTCTGATTAATAAATATCCCCTGCTGATCTTGTTTTATCTCCATGCCCAAAAAATAGGACATAGTTCCCAAATCTGTCATCTCAATAAATCAGCATGTGAGTGCTTAATGTACAAAGTTGATTCATTTAAGCTTCTTGTGAATCCAAGGCTCTGCAAGTGCTCATCTATTGTGCTATACCAAGCTCTAGGAGCCTGCTTCAACCCATGCATGGCTTTCTTTAGCAAGTAGACCTGATCCTCTTGCCCTTGAACAACAAAACCTTCTAGTTGCTCTACAAAAATCTCCTCCTCCAAGTAACCATTGAGAAAGGCTGACTTAACATCAAGCTACCATGCTGCCTATACTTTTTGAGCTGCTATTGCAAGTATTAATCTGATTGTATCCAGGTGCGCAATAGGTGCAAAAGTATATGTGAAATCCTCTCCATACACTTGTGCATAGCCTTTGACCACCAACCTTGCTGTACTTGTTGATGGAGCCATCATCATTCAACTTTGTTTTGAACACCCATTATGACTTTCTTATGTTCTGGTCTATCAACTAAAACCCAAGTTTGATTCTTCTCAATCATATTCAACTCACCCTTCATAGGTTCAATCCACTTTGGATCCTTCACTACATCTACAAAATATTTAGGTTCCACCAAAGACACATTACATCTCTGGTAAACATCAGATAATGATCCTGTACCTCTAACTGGAATGTTATCAATGGTATCATCTAATGGAGAGGTTGTAGATGTAACTGGAATGTTATCAATGGTATCATCTAATGGAGAGGTTGTAGATGATAATCCATCATCTGGTATCCTCCTTTTCTCTTCCCAGTGCCACTTTTCTAGTTCTGCAAATTGAATATCTTTGCTCATCACTATTTTTTCAAATTGATGTTGAAATACTTTATAGGCTTTAGAGACACTGCTATAACCTATAAAGATCCCTGGATTAGCTCTCTTATTAAGTTTATCTCTCTTCACCTATAGAGTATAACAGATACAACCAAACACTTTCAAGTTTGTTAAAAGTGGCTTATAACCATATCATGCTTCAAATGGTGTTTTCCCTTGCAATGCTTTTGTAGGTAGCCTGTTTTGCAAAAATATAGCTATGTTAGCTATTCAGCTCAAAACTTCTTGGGTAGATCCTTCTCATGAAGCGTGCAGGGAGACATCTCCATAATAGTTCTGTTCTTCTTCTCACTCACCCCATTTTGTTGCGGAGCATAAGGAGCTGTCAACTTATACTCAATTCCTGCTTCTTCACAAAATTTAGTGAATTGATCTGATGTATATTCAATCCCATTATCTGATCTAATAGCCTGAATCTTGTAGCCACTTTGATTCTCAATCCACACCTTGAAATTCCAAAGCACTTCTGCAACTTCTGTTTTGAATTTCAAGAAATAAATCCAACACATTCTAGTTAGATCATCAACAAAAGCTATATAAAAAGACTTCCATTCAAGGATGGTTCAAACATAGGCCCACAAAAGTCAGTATGGATCAACTATGGTTTTTGAGTTGCTCTCCAAACTGATTGAGCAAATGGCAGCCTAGTTTGCTTCCCATATTGACAAGCTTTACAAACTAACTTGAGAGGTTCCAATAAAGGTACTCCTTGCACCGCATCTTTCTTGCTTAGATCCTGCAATGCAAACTCATTGCAATGGCCTAGCCTTTTATGCCAAAGTTCAGTTTCATCACTGATTACAACATGAGCTCTTTGATCAACATCAGTCAAATCCAAAGAAAAACATCTATTTTCATTCTGACCTTAAACAATAATTGACCATGAGCATCATTGATCAAACACATTTTATCTTTAAATAACATCTCAAAACTTTTATCTACCAATTGGCCAACACTAAGCAAGTTTTGATCTGCTTCAGGGATAAAAAATACGCCTGAAATCTTTTTTATACGTGAATGAGTTTGCAATGCAATAGTGCCTCTACCTTTAACCTTCATTTATCTCCATTTCCTATCTTTATTGTAATTCCTGCTACCTTTTCAAGATCAATAAATAACTCCTGATTGCTGGTCATGTGGCTAGTGCAACCATTGTCTATTAACCATATTTCACTTGAGGTTGTGACTGAAAAACACTTTGCAGTTACTAAATGCTCCTCCTGTTGATCTGCAACATGAGCTTCTGTCACTTGTTGAGTTTTGTTTTTGCATATTTTAGCAATATGCCCTAATTGCTTGCACTTATTGCACTTAACATCTGGTCTCCTCCAATATTTGAATGGTGGATGACCCTTCTTCCCACAATAATGTTCGCAAGGAGGAAAATCGCACTTATTTTTGTCTCCCTCCTTCTTATCAAACCCATCCTCCTTTTTCGCTTTCTTCTTTCCTTTTTGACTTTGACTAACCTGCAACTTGGCTTGCAATGCACCCTTAACGGACCCTTCCTGCCTCTTGTGCCTTTTTTGTTCTTGTGCTTGCAAGACACTCAAAAGTTCTGCCAAAGTGATGATTGACAAATCTTTTGAGTTCTCCAAGGCTAAGATGGTTGTTTCAAACCTTTTAGGAACTATCACTAGCAGCTTCTGCACTATTCTGGAGTCAGTAAATTCACCCCCCAACAACCTCACTTTATTTGCAATTCGTAGAAGTTTATCTGAATACTCTTGAATAGTTTCAGATTCCTTCGTCTTTTGCAATTCGAATTCCCTTACAAGATTCAGCATCTGCATTCCTTTGATCTTCTTATCTCCTTCATACTCTTGCTTGAGATAATCCCAGATCTCCTTAGATGTCTTCAAGGTCATAACTCTTGTGAAGATTGCTGGAGAAACAGCAGAGAACAAACAAGACTTGGCTTTTGACTTTCTCTAGTTACTCTCTTTGTGACTTCGTAGTTGAGCTACTGTAGGATTTTCTGACAAAGGAGGACCCTCATAATCCTCCTTAACAGCTTCCCATAGATCATTGGCTTCCAAATAAGCCTCCATTCTCACTGACCACGTATGGTAACTTAGGCCATCAAAAACTAGAGGGGCTATGGCAGTAAAAGAAGGTTCAGCCTTCATAGTGGTTTGCATTTTGGCTAACACTCAATGTTTATCTCACAGGTCCCACAAGATAAAAGTGCTCTAATACCACTTTGAAGGTTTTAGAAAGAAAACTAAAAACAAAAATGAGAAGAAAGAGCTTTGAAAAATATTTCTAAGGATGTATTTTATTCAATCTGCAAAATGGGTATTTAAAGACATTAAATCATGGCAATAAAACGATAAAAATCTGCTAAAATCCCAATGAATCAGCAACTACGTGACTAACTGATAACAACCCACTAAATCAGCAAATACATGGCTAAAAAATAGGAACAAACGTTGACAGAATCAAACTCCTATAATTAATTTTTGAACTGAAATTAATTCCTTAAAATTAGCAACAAACTAACGTCAGCAAGTGAGGCATATCTCAACAATGTAGCTGTCAAACTCATAATCAATAAGGATCTCCTTTTCACCCTTACTTTTGGAATAAATCCCCATGAAACAGAAAAATAAACCCGGAATAACCGAGGTGGAATCAGAAATCAGGTACTGAATTGCTGAAGAAACTTGTTCATAAAGAATGATACTTACAATGAAGCAATAACAGGATAAAGACCAAGTACAAGCTACCCCAGTTTCTGAAGAACAAGGGGAAGTCCTTTCACCTGAATTGATGAATACAATATGCAAGTATAGCCAAATCCAAAATGGTTACGAGCTTTTCATCAGTCCAATAATTCCTATTCCGGTCCAAGTAATTAAACAGGCATAGGGCAAGATAGAACACCGAAACATCCAAAGAACAAAATATAAGTTTTCCTGTATAGACTTATATTGAACTTCTCTTCTGAACTATGTCTGTTTCTTACAGTGGTTTTCTTGCTCGCCCACTAGACCAAAAAACGTCAAAAACAACACCAGGAGGAGAAAACCCATGTGAAGCCATGCAAGAAAATGGGTTTCAGGAAGAACTCAGAGGCAGAATACATGTTTGCGGAATACGAAAAGAGTAACAGCATACCTTAGATTAAAGAATCAAGAAGTTCATTTTGCCTGAAGGATCTGAATGATAAGAGAGCAAGGCAAAACTTTGCTGGGCAGAAATGGCACCTGAGTGTATTAATGAGCTACCGCTCAGTAATACCATCCTCTCCATCGGAATTGAAGTTTCTTTCGGAGCTGAATTAGCAGAAATCAGAAAAGCTTGAAGATGTGAAGTGCATGAATGGTCACGAACGAGAGATGAAGACTTTACTTCCATCAACTTGTTCATGCACCTCTGGAAAGTTTAGTAGAGAGAGACGTGATTGTCTTCTAGTACGAGTCTAACTCAAATTTGGACTACAAAAATCTAACGGCTTTTTGGAGTCGCGATGATGTAATATAACTGTGATAAAATGGAAATGACACTTATGTCCAACATTCATAAGTGAAAAATGAGTTTTGGTACAACGTGCAAAGTTGTTAAAATATATTATTTAAAATATAAAATACCAAAATACACTTATTTAGAACTAAGAGCTTACCGATCAAAGATCAAAAGTAACAAGCATGCCTCTTTTACTTTTTCATATATTGTGAGCATCAAAATGACAACAGTCCTATTTGTCATCATGTTTAAAATTACTTATAAATACATTTTATGTAATTCGAGACAAAACTCATCTAATATATTTATCTCATATTTCGTAAATCACAATTAAAAAGTTATTTATAAGTTATTATAAGTGAGCCCTACGTCATCTACAGAAATTACGATAATATGGGATGCCCAGGTTGGCTTACCCAATCTGAGGTTTACTTGCTACAAATTAAAGTCTTCTTAGTTCCCAATTGCTAAAGAAATAAAAAGGGACGCCTTCCTTGGTCATTGGAAAATTAAAAAAAAAAAAAAAACATTTGTTTCACTGATTCAAGGATTTTGTAAATCCTCGGGCAGCATCTTAAAACTTGCTCGCATAATTTGCATCAACTTTTTTCCGTAGTTTTCCTCACTGCTTTTACCAGAATCTTGCAACTCAACCTTCACTTGTTTATCACCTTCAAGCAATGGAGAAATGGAAAACAACCAGGCATTGCCTATAGAATCCAAGAGAATGATATTTAATAATCTGATTATTGTTAACAATTTAGATATATTTGTTATTGCCTAGTTAGTGAAGTGAGGGAGAAAAGATGAATCAACTACTTGAATGCTTATAGGTTAATGATCTGAAGAGCAAAATGCCATTTGGGTCTTGAAAGATACTTGTTCTATGATTTAGTCTTCATTTTTTGCCAATGTTTATGGGTTGAGTCCCAGTTTGGGGTGAACTGAATTAATAGGAAAGGAAAATCAGAATGCATGACATGGTAAAGGAAAATCCACAGCCAAACTCACAAACCCGGATTCAGGGCTATTGGGATCCAATGGAAGATCATTACGATTTATTTTTCCTTTGACCCTTCCACAGGATGGATAGTACAGAGTCAGAACTTCTGACGATGAAATCTTTAGCCTCTGAGATATTTTGGAAAAATCATATGGTACTCAGAAGTTTGGGCGAGATCGGAAGCATAGTTAAAGAGAACATACTGTGAATGAGGCGGCCGGTGAAACAGAGCTTTAGCCTCAGCCCATTTTGAGACCGTGAAAGAGAAATCTCTGTATCTTTAGCTGCTGAAATATAATGGCTGGACGATGCTGACGTTCGTATAATTGCTTTCAGGTAATTGTTGCATCATTCTAATAATTTCAAAGGTTATTTCTTTCGGCCCATCTTAACGGCTTAATTTAAGAAATGGTTTTTTTGTTTTCTTTCAAGTACTCCCCTTTTCCCTCAAAATGGATCAGATAGTTCCCTTTTGGCATTTATTTTAGCTTTTATTTAAAAAAAAAAAAAAAACAGGAGTTTACAAAAATCAAAAACCAAAAAAGCTTAATCTTCTCGAGACTTCATATCAAGAATGAGCAGAGTGTACTAAATCTGCAGCATACATATTGGCAAACAGTGCCACTTATCAAGTAGATGATATAAATCATGAGGTCTTTTAACATCATATACATAAATCCTCTGGGGGCACGACTACATGAGACAGAACTAATGCTCAAGAAAAACTGAGCCAAAATTAAATATCAACCTACAAGATTCCCGTGAGTTAATTATACTACTCAAAAGGCAGAACAGAAAATAAAATAGATCCCAACGCAACTGCCACTAAGAGTCTAATATCATAAAAAAGACTGCACAGCAACTTCCTCCAAAGTTTCGTTTGGTTTCCTCCACTCCTGATTCTCCTCCTAAAATCCAGTCTGTAAGAAGAACCATAATGCAAAAGAAAATGCCATTTAGTCAACAGAAAAAACACTGACCAAGTAAAGTACTTTCAGAAATGTCATCAAGGACAAGTGAAAATTGTCCGAGCCAAATATAAGAACTAACATTTCTTTTCTTTTTTCAGGTCTGAAAAAACTAATATTTTTCTTCTTGTTTGGAGGACATTTGATATACGAAATGAACCACTATTTTATTTTAGCTCATCCAAAGAAAGCATGACTCAAATTATTCATCTTATTGATCCTTTTAGATCCGCGCCACTAATAAGCCCCATGTCTATTTGACGACCCACATATAGGAAGTCAATTAAGTTTTTCCTGAGCCTCCTTCCATAAAACAGTCTTTGATGGAAGCAGAAAGAAGCAATTTCCAGTCAAAATCATGAGGCAGAAAGCCAGAAACTACTAGCTGCATCTTTTGAATTTAGTACTTGTTAGTTTCCTCTATAAATCAGGTAAAGAAACTAATTCGACTAACTTATATAAACAATGCGTATGGTCATACCTTGCTTCAACTAGTTGATGGTAGAAACACCCTGATGAGCTCTTTTGCAGTAACCTTTTTCCTACACGTAGGGCATTTACCCTGAGCATTTATAGCAGCCTTGATGCAACTCTTACAGAATATATGACCACACCTTGTTGACACTTCCTCTACAAATGGGCCCATACATATTGGACAGCTAAAGACAGGCTCCATTGGAGGTTTAGGTTTCTCCCACTGCCAAAACGGATATTCAAGTCAGCAAATTCAATAATATAAATATCTCTACACATATTGGGACATAGGGGATGGCAAAATGGAAGAAAATGAGGACTATTAGTCCAAAAGAGAACACAGAAGTTAAGATACAAAAAGATAGAAAGGTGAAGGAGTAAATTAAGACGTTTATGATGAAGGGCAGGAGAGAGCAGTGTATAAAAAGCCTAGCTGAGAGCATGGAATGCAGAGAACTTTGAGTGTGGTTTTGGGTTGAGAGGGCCAACCTCTCAAAAGTTAGCAAATATCTTGTGTTCTGTTCTTGAAGTGTATGATGTAGTATTGTGTGTGTGTCTGTTTGGTGGTAAAGGACTTAGAGTCCTCTTGTTATCCATGATCTTTGCGTTAGTGTATGAAACATGACATGTTCTAAAACATTTTGTTACCTCAGAGCTGCCACTGCCTTCCAAGTTTATACATACATCAGAATTAGGAATTGTTTGGTTTGAAGAATCTCTTCTGCAATTGTTGGTAGCATTTTCATTTATCCAACTCCGGTAATCTGCAAAAATCATGAATGAAAGGGAACGAGTTAACCAGCACAAGTCACAGGGAAGAAGATAACAAAAATTTTACCAGGAAAAAGACAGAGGAATGGAACAATATGTTACCTAAATCCACATCAACTACAGTCCTCCCACGGTTCCTTCTTGAATTGTTTTTAGCCTAAATTGAATGAGAATTGCATAAATA